CTGTGCTGGGTCCAGTTAATGAGATCCCGTCCTGCCTGAGCGCTGCCAACAGCAAAGAAGGGGTCCAAGTACTTCTTCTCACTAGGATTTATTCTGATTTCATTGATGGGAAAGCTGAGTAAATTCTATTTATACCAGAATGCACCATTCTTCCCAAGGCTGTGTATTTTTGCAATCCAATTAAACACTCTATTTTTTTTCCCCTAAGTCTCCCAGTTCCCTTTAGGGCAAGATTAGGAACTGGCTGGATCCCCCCTCTGAGAGGCTGGACCTTTGCTTAAAGCATCGTTTCCCAAACCATGGGTGAAAACGCCACAGAAAGGGAAATGGCATTATCCCATGGGCAAAGAAACACTGATGTGGGCCATTCTCATTTGCGAAGACTTGGCTTTATTTTAAGGTTGCAGAGCCTTACATTTAATAAAAACCACAAGAATCTCTCTCCTTCAAAGTATGGAATAGATAGTATTTATTCAAACTTTTGAGTATAGATATATATGTGTATAATATTGATTATATGTACGCACTCGCAGAATGCGTGTGCTGCTTATAATGTTATTAAACAAGGAAGTGTATACAGATGGGGTATGGCTGGGTGTGTGTCAACAGACACACGCACACCAGGGTATATGTGCTTCACAGAATTATATATATAAGACAAAATATGGATGTGCTCTGAGTGAGGCATCTCCCTCACGCTAAGGGCTGGGATACTGCATTTCCTCTTCTGTGCTGTTTGAGATTTTCCCCAGGCCATTTCGACTTTCTTCTTGAAGGCGTCTTTAGCCGAAGGTGACTAAAGGAACGGTCTTCACCCTAGAGGAATGTCAAAAAGTCCTGGAGAAAACCCTAAAAAGCATTAAAAGAGAAGAACAAGGAGCGTGTGCTGCTGAATGAAGTGGAGTTGGAGATGTCAAATACCATGGCATTGTGAGTCGGTGGAAAGGAGGAGGACAGGGGGGAGTTGGGAGGATCTGCCCAGAGAGAGAGGTTTCTGGAGGACAGGGCATGGCAAAGCCAAGCCACGATGTGTTGGCCAAATCCCGTCCCTTTCCAAGGCCAAATCTGCAGCCAAACCTGAATCTGGGGACAAAAAGCCGCTGGCTCCTGGCTCCCTGGGCTGTGAGCAGAAGGCAGGAGGCACCCGAGTGAAGCAAAGCAAATAAATCAAGCCAGGACAGGGGTGTTTAAATCTCTCTTTGTCTTCCCACAAGGCAAAGGCAAGCTGGGGCTGAGTGATCTTCACCAGGCCAGCTCGGCCACCCTGAACACCGAGCTAATTGCTGCAGCTTCGTTACACAGGATGAGCCCTTCTTAAAGGACAGCAGAGCAGGGCAGTGATGCCTTGAAACATCAGAAAGCCAGGAAATTTATGATCCTGTTACCAGATAACTATTCCTGGGGTGACTGAAGGTAATAATGACAATAAGTCCTCTCTAGCTCGACCCAGACGTCAGCAGAAACACCAAGCTCCATGAAGCACGGCTGGGTCTGAGCTCCGGTAGCTGCACTCAGAGCAGCGGGTCAAGGAGTTTCACGTTTTGCCTTAGTCCATCCTAAATTGGAAGGAAAAACAAACTCCAAGGGTGACCGATTCCCCACAGAGTGCCAAGGAAAATAAACTCGCAGGGTAAGAACCCGGCAGGGTGAGGATTTATTGGTGTCGTTGCTTAAATTCTGTAACAAACATCTGCAAGGGTTGAGAAGAAGACTGAGAACCGGATCCCCCACCTAGAAGTCAATGCGCTCTTTTGTTTGATCCTAAATAAGAACAGCACACCCTCTCATAATTCATAATTACTGAGTGTTCACAAGAGCGATGCGATGTTCCTAAGAAATTAAGTCTCAGTATGTGAAATGAGCCAGGATTCAGATGGGACTGTAGGAAAATGTTCCTAAAATACCAGTTTACAGATCACACCAGGGCTGTGGTGTCAAGCGTTCCTGTGTTAGAGCACCCGCTTTCTTACTGGGGAAACTGGTGGCCACATCTAGGAGGTCAAACTGGGGAAAAAGCCTTGGAGATGGCCACGACTTCCCACTGAAACAAAAAGCTGATCCAAGGCAGGGACTTGTAGGGCAGGACAGCTTAGCCCTAGAGGGATTTCTCCAGGGTAAAGCAGAAAAAAACCTGATTTAAAGAAGTGTGGCACCTATCGAGTAAGACCTGTGAGTACCAGAGCTGCTGGAGGATGCTTGAATGGGAAGCCTGCATTTAGCCAGCAGTTTAGGAAAAGCCCAGAGCAGCCAGATGTGCGCCCTGCTACAACATCAGCTGCGAGAGGCCGTCCTGTGTCTACTGCAACCCATTGACCCCCGTGTAACGATACAATTTTACACCATGTCCCGGAGTATGAGGAGGAGTGGGAATGAGGAGCATCAACACCGCAGGCTCCGTGCTAGAAGTGCCTTGGAGTGGGTATCGGGGTGACCTATGCACGGCGGGATTCGGCATCTGACGGTCCAGGCGCAAAGCGGTCCTTACCTTCTCCCAGCGTGCTCACCACCGTCACTTCCGAGGCTTTGCTGGCCCCCCGCGAGGTGTAAGCCTTTATATAAAAGCTGTAGCTGGTCGAGGGCTCCAAATCGGTCACCAGCTGCTGGAAGGTGCTCTTGCTAACAGCCTCCTGATACTCCATCTCTACGGGATCTGAGGTGCAAAGGAAAGAGAGAAGAGAGCGGCGTTAGGCTCAAAGAGACTAAACACGTTGTGAGCGGTAATTTTGGTCCCTAACGTGGTTATGTGTCTGCCCACATCATTTTCTACTTGTATTTCTGTGCATTTTGCCAGAGACATAAGTGGGCAACAAGATCTGATCGCACAGCTTCACCCTTTTGGTACTTAGATCAGCGTTACTGCCTCATCCCTGGCTTTCAGTAACAGGGAGGTGATGGAGAAATATGGGTGGCAGCAGTGCAGGCTCTGGTTTACCCATTGAACCACGTTGCTAAATAATAGGAAGGCTGAGGATGCTCTGGGCAGAGGGTAGAGCACCGTACCTGCAGCTTTCCGGATGTGCAGCACGTAGCCGATGATCTCCTTGGTGTTCTGCAGAGGCTCTTTCCAAGACACCTGGATGGTGGTTGCCGAAACGGTCTCTGCCTTCACGCTCTGCGGGGGCCCGGGCAGCCCGTCCGACCACAGCACCGTCAGGCGGGCGCTGGCCTGCGTGGAGCCGGCGCTGTTTTCGGCGATGCACTGGTAGATGGCTTCGTCCGCCTGGTTGATTCCGTAGATGGAGAGGGTGCTGTGTGGGGACACGAGAGGGACATGGTTATCTCACCGAGTGCTCTGCAGTGGATGTCTCTCCCCTTCAGCCATGCCACAGCCCTCATGCTGGCCCCAGGTTGCTGCGAGATCATACTTTTTGGGAAGGGAAAGCCTAGGAGTGGGATGCATCATTCTCCACATCTCATGTATCCTCTCAACTTGTGGAGACTGTGGTTAAAGTACAGCCAGATGGGGATGGCGGGATCTGAAACCCTGAATTTGGGAAGATCCCAGCACCCTACAGAGACAACTCTGCAGCAAGGGCACTCACAGCCCCAAACCAGCTTTAACTGGCTCGGCTCCAGTACACACCAGTGACACCACAAAGTCTAATCAAGCGCAGCCAGGAAGCCCTCTGGTGATGCTCTAATTGCATTAGAGCACATTAGAGCAGTCTTAAGGTAACACCAGGATTAGCTGGCTTATCCGGCAGGGTTACAGCCTCCACTCCTGCCTTTCCAGAAACACCACCACCACGAGCCAAAAGCCAAAGCTGTTGACCTTTTTTGACATGAGGTTTGGTCTATAAAACCTTTGAGCGTCTTTTCTGATGCTGCTGCTTCCCTGCTGATGGGGCAGGGAAGCCTCACCACGCTGTTTCCAGCTCCGAGCTGGATGTGGAAAGGCAGCCTTTGACCTTGGAGATGATTTTCCCAAAAACCACCTTGAAGCAGCAGCTGAGGTTATGATACAACGTGATGTCCTTAGTCCTGTTAGGGTGTTCTCACCAACAGGGCGCCTTGGGGAAAATTTTGGAAATAAACTTGGCCCAGACTGGACCAACTGAACCTGGTGACAGCTTTGGCACCACTGTAAATTGTATTTGTTACTGCAAATTACGGGATTGATGAGTCCTGTTAGATAGGCTATAGGATATATAACTCAGATGAGCTTTTTTTATTGCTATTTTTCTGTAAGAAATTACCCCAAAATCTACCAAATCCCCACCCCCTGCTTGCTTCTAGGGAGAAATAAATTATTTTCTTCTGCTGCAATGAATTCCAGGTGGATGTTGGACATGAGTAAATCCCAAGCACCCCTGCTGAGGCGAGGGGCACCTGACGGCTTTTTGGGAGTCCTAATCCAAGCTACCCTTTATATAAATGAAAAAGTGCACATGGAAAGCGGAAATTATAAATAACCTGTCACTGCCTGCCTGTATGTCAGAACGAGCACTCCTAATTGCAACAAAATACTGGTCTTCCTGTATTAAAATTTATTATTGCTGTTGATTTAACGTTCTTATTTCTGCCTTGCAAATTATCGGGGCCGTGGTAAGCGAGCAAATGTTTAACAGCCATTCATTTTATGCCCCGTGCCTTTGTTTCCTTGGAAACATTGTAAATGGAATATCAACTGCGATGGTTTCAGCTGATACGGTGATTTTGAGAGACTCAGCCCTAAGCTCCCCTCGTAGCCACGGGCTCAACGGCTCCGATTAAATGGGAGGAGAAGGGCAGAGCAGGGAGGAAGGACTCCAGTGTCAACAGGGCTGGATTCCTGCGAGGACAGATGGCAGAAGGCAGGATTACACCAGCCGAGTGCTGTCCTCGCAGCTCTGCACAATGCAGATGTGTGGGAGATGCAGCTCCCCACTGCCCCATTGATGCTGGGATTATTCCGACCTGGATACTGCACTTCTGGGCACCCTGGGTTGGCACACAAGGCCAGAGCGGCATTGAGCTTCCTGAGCACCAGAGGCAACGAGGAGTATTGAGGGTCCACCGCCTCCAAGTGTATTTATTTGATTTACATGGAGAGAGGAAAAGGTGCGGAGCCTTGGTTGGGAAGCGGCGCAAGGAGCCTGATGGCAGCAGCATGGTGCTGGGGCCAAAGACACAGAAATCATTGAAATGATTGCATCATTAAGATCGGAAAAGTCCTCCAAGATCAAGTCCAACCCCACCATGGCCACTAAACTATTGTCCCCAAGTGCCACATCCACATGGTTCTTGAACCCCTCCAGGGATGGGGACTCCACCACTGCCCTGGGCAGCCCCTTCCAGTGCTTGGCCACTCTTCCAGTGAAGACATTTTTCCTAATATCCAATCTAAACCTCTCCTGGCACAACTTGAGGCCGTCTTCTCTCATCCTATCGCTTGTTACTTGGGAGAAGACACCAACACCCACCTCTCTACCCCCTCCTTCCAGGAGCTGCAGAGGGGTTAAGGTCTCCCCTCACCTCCTCTTCTCCAGACTGAACAACCACAGCTCCCTCAGCCGCTCCCCATAATCCTTGTGCTCCAAACCCCTCACCAGCCTCATTGTCCTCCCGTGGACACACATCTCCCTCCTGGCAGGATTTGGAGGGGAGCAAAGCTCCTCAAGCACAACACAGATGCTGTGCTGGATGCCAATGGTCCTGGAGCAGGACAGCACTCGGCCACTGCCACCCGGAGCTCAGACATCCCAGCTGCTTCTCTGCAGAGGTCCCAAGAAAGAAAGAAAACAAATTTCTGCCAAGTGGGTACTGCAGGTAGCTGGAAACTTACTTCAGGCTTTGAAAAGTTCATTTTCATTGGGATTCCCAAGGCTGTGTTTGGATACGCTGTGCAATGAGAGCCTCAGCCACCCATCACCTAGGGCCCCCATCATGCAGAACAAATAGGGTCAATAAAACAACCACATTTTTGGCCATGCCTATAAACCTGGGTAAGGAGCAGAAAGCGAGCGTGGAGGAGTTGGCAACCAGAATGTCAATGAACACCAACTTCATGAGAATACAGGTTTGAGGTTTTCTCTCTGTTGGTCTCAGAGGACACCAACCCCAGCACCATCCCAGCTGGTGCCTCTGTGCATCCACTTTCATCTCAACTATTGACAAATTCCTCCTCCGGGATGCAGAGGATGCAGTGTGGCAGGATCAGTGTTTGGTCCAGCAGCTTTCCCAAGGCTTTTTTGGCCTTTTTCTTTTTATTTTTTTTTTTTTATGTTACGGAAGCTCAAACAAAAGGAAAACACGCAGTTGCCGTGCGAGGAGGCGCAGATATTCAACCATCTGAAATATGCAGCGTCCTTTTATTTCTTCAAGGAAAAAAAAAAAAAACCACAACCAAAAAAAAAAAATCTGTCACTTTGGGACATCTGCCGTTGGGAAACTTTCCCGTGAGCGCCAGCCTGGCAGTGCCGCGAGCACGTCGGGCGAGGCGAGATGCCAGAAGGCTTTCTGCTGGTCACCAAAGCCGCTCGGCGGCTCCATCACATCCCCGCACAAAGCCCTGACAGGCATTGATGGAAGTGGGGAGAGGAACCGCTGCTGATTCACAGTCGGCCGAGCCGAAACAACCCCTCGAACGCCGCCGTATTCCCAAGCTGTCTTCCCAGCTCTGAGGCAATCGGGATGAGTGATCTGGCTCGGGTCAGGGGGCCGGGGCCGGTGACCGGAGCTCGGCTTTCCAAAGGCTCCTCTGAAAATAAAAACGGCTGAGAACTGAAGGAAGCCCCTTGGTCGATTCAGCGGCACAAAGGAGGAGAGGGGCCCGTCTGGAAGGACACCGGCGGGCGCACAAAAGGGGGAGTGTGATGAAATTAATGCAGGGAGCGGGCTGAGAGCATTTTAAGCGCCGGCAGCTCCCGAAATCCACCAGCCCCATGCCCTGCTCTGCCTCTGTTTGTCATAGCTCCTGTTGTGCCACGCCAATCAGAATGCTCCAGTGCCATGCTGGAAAGGAGCTTTTTTCCCTTGGTTGTTGGCAGCTTTGCAGAAATCCCCTGGTTTTTGAAGGCTGCCTCGTACAGGCTGAAAATCAGGTGCAAAGCTTGAAGAGTGACACTCAGCAGCCCCAAGAGACACTGCAAATCGTCCCCAGCACCTTCTTACACCTCCAGAAACTAAATATGCAGGGCTTCCGAGGCAAAACTGTGTTGTGTTATGCAGGAGGAAGAACCCTTTCCATACAAAGTGGTGCCCAGGATCCCAGACTGATTTTGGGCTGCCCCACAACGGGCTCACTCCTTCCTTGAAGGCTCCTGCGTAAGGACCATACTCTGCAGATGTATTTTTTTCCACATGTCTTCCAAACAAAGTCAAACCCATGAATTCTTCTTAAATCAGGAGCAGCTGCTTCACATCCCAGTCCTCCACGTAGTTATTTGTCATGCTTCTAGGAACTGAAATATGATTTGCTATAGGTACCCTTCCCATAATCACCAATGGCTTTCAAACTCATTGCATAAATAAGCTGCAGGCTTGCCTTAAGGTGTCCAAAACCCCTACAGATTCACGAGTCTGTGGGGTGCGTGCACCATGAAGGGATGGACAAACTCACCCACATCTCTCCGCACCCAGCTAACGTGGGTTTTATAGGAAAAAGCCACCTTGCCAAGGGCAGGTTGTAGTTTCCCCAGGTTTGGTACAAAAAGGGTTGTCCTCTCCCAGTGAACCTTGAACATCCATGGCCCTTGAAGGGAGTCATGCCCAGAGCACCGAAACCAGTGCAAACCAGTGAGGAAGAATTTAAAAAGGAGACAGTTCATAAGCGAAGGTCACCGAGAAGAGCAAATGCCACCTGAGCCCAGGTTCTAAGTCCCTTAATTACCATTTTGTAAATAAAATCTGCTTGGAAAATCAATATTTAGAGCCTGCCTTCGCTGAAGATGTTGGCCTTTGTTCCTTGCTATTACGGCAATATAAACCCCAACGTGTGATATACTTCTAGGCTGCAAATTACTCCCCTGAACCCGATTGGGTTAAAGGAAGAAAAGCAATAAACCCTTCAGAGCAGTAATTTGGGTGCTATTTCATGCTTCCTTGTAAATTTTGAAGTAATAACCTAGAAAGCATGATTTTACACGAGCCCACAATTAACTTGGCCAGTAACCACCCGTTTTTCCTGCAGCAATACCTCTGATTTTGGGTCAGGCTGGTGATGCCAAGTGGGAATTTTGCTGGAAAATGCCCATTACACCTCGCAGGGATTTGGATCGCGATCGACCCAAATCACCCCAGGAATAATACGGGCGAAATATAACTTTTCTAATCAACAGAGAGGCACAGACCCTGGCTCCACCAAGTCACAAAGGCTCCATCAGCTTCTCCATCCCAGAGCATCCGTACAGCATCACCCCAACAGCATTCGGCTCCATCCCAACCCAGGCCCCATCATCATCTCCTTCGGCGATTTTTATTCACAGCTTTTAATGGAAAAGCCCACAGTTCCCTACGCCTGAGCCTTCATGCATTTTTCATTAACAATTACCCGCTCTCCCCGAACCGCTTTTGATTTTTTGCTAATCATCGATTGGGTATTTTGTTCCCACACAGCTGGCATTTTCCAAACATAACAACCACCTCTGGAGAGGGCCCAGCAGAAGGCTGATCTTTAATGCTAATGTGCCCAGAAACTGTCAACACATCAGGTGATGAGAACTCCCATCTGAGGGACCGTGAGGTATTTATCAGCCTGGGAGGTTTCTTTTTCCACACTGAAAGGCTGCAAGATGCTTTGTCAGTGATGCTGGATGTGGTACCAGCAGCCAAAGCCAACCTGCAGTGAATCCAGCCCTGAAGCTGCTGTCCCATCTCACCTATGAAGATCTTCTCTTCTGAAGTCCCCCAGCCTGGAGGGTTTGCTCTCCTTGGGCTTGCAGTTACAGGGGACAGCGTGGGGTGACCTGGATGCCAAAAGGGCCCTTTGCAACTTTGGGAAGCAATGGTTTGCTGGATGGATCTTCCCATCGGCCGTGGGTTGGTGTGGACGCTTCAGGACATGGTTTAGTGGTCATGGTGGGGTTGGGTTGATGGTTGGACTGGATGATCTTAGAGGTCTCTTCCAACCTTAATGATTTTGCAATTCTTGCAGGAGCAGAGCAGCATCTCAAATGCATCGTGATCCGCAGGTCTGGGCCTCATTTCGAGCTGCGTTTATTTACAAGAACAAAGTTGCTCACAATGATCCGCTTCACAAGCAATTAGCACATGATATGATTTGGGATGATTTACTTTTTTGGGGTTTTTTTTTTTCTTCCCTAAAAAGCCCTCTGGGGGCATTCAGACCTTTATTGCCATATTAAGCAGAGTTTTAATCCAAATGAATTTTCCAGGAAACCATGTAATCTAATTAAAAAAGCTCACAGTGCAGTTGAGTAGAGTCATTACCAGTAGATTCGAGATCCATCTTCACGCGGACAAATATTTTCCGAGTGCAACGGACTGATAAATCCAAGGCATAATCACAAACTGATTTTGCCTGGAACTAAGTGGGTTACAGCACTTAGTCATGCCCATGAGAATGAAACAAAGGACGACTTGAAAAAGCTCAGAAAAAAAAACCCAACCCAGCGTTTTTCTGTTTCCTCCAATTCATGGAAGCATTTTTCCAGACTGACAGCTTTGGAAACCACCAAGCACGGCCACTCGCCTGAAGTTGAGGGGTCAGAGTAGACCAAGGGTAGCGCGGAAGAAGCCGAAAGTTCACCATTGTGGAGGACGATGGCCTCGGGGCTCAGCTTTACGACCGCGTTACTACAGCTTGAGAAGATGCCACGTGGCAGCTGAGCCCCGGGAACCGGCTGAGCCCCCTCAGCCCGCGCCAGATGCGATGAAATCTGATCACTGAGCTGGCGGTGGAAAGGGCTGACGTGAAATTGCATTCAATGATTGCCATAAGAAAACGATTACGGCCATGTTCACCGCGGCGCAGCTCACGTGTAGGAAGCTCCAGGCACTGGGACCCGGCCATGACCAAAGACCCTACTTTTACCTTCCTCAAACAGCCAAAACGGATGATTTCACAGGCGAAACATCTGGGTGAGACACAGAGCTGGATTCAGTGAGAGCTTTGTCATGGATTTAATGACAAAATAAAGTCACTTAAAGACTTATGAAGTCTTTGGTCACTTCTGACTCCGTTTCCTGGTCAATAAAAGGGGATGCACTCATTTCCAACCCCCCATTTCTGTTCATCCCTCAGAAACCCATGCAATGAACCAGAAGACCACAAGCCTGGACTAAATGGTGTCTGCCTGTGCACAAAGTTCCCTGAAGCCCTAAAAACTTCCAGCTTGGAGAAAACCCCATTGACAGAGATTTCATTACAACTCACACCTCATCCTGCTCGCAACTCCCGTCCTTCCCTCCTCCACATAACAAAGCTTTAAAAAAGCCTCAAGCCTCAAAGCAAAAAGGCATATTATAGAGAAGCTTTGAAAAATGATGATGTTCTCTCCTGAGGAACAAGCCCTGGTGCCCGCACAGCACTTCCCAACACTCAACACTGAAGGTCTGGGCCCTCCAGCGAGGCTGGGTACTTGCATTCATGATATGCATCTGTTAATACAGACAGCACTGTAGAGTACAAATATCTACCAATAATTTAGGCTTACAACACAGGTATTGTTATTTTTCAGTGCAGTATTCCATGCTATTTCCATAGCAACTGCATCCCACCGTATCATTTCCTCAGTGCAAACATCCCCATGCCCTCGCAGGAAAACTTGGTTATTCGGTACTCAAGAGAAAACTCTCTTCACCAGTGAGATAAAAGGCTGAAGTTTAGTGGAAGTCAGCTTCCACACAAATATTAGTTCAAATGTATTTCCATTTGCACACCCAGGCAGGTCAATATGCAGGGGTTAAAGTGTGGTTCCTCCACTGCTGAGTGAGTGTGGTCCCTGTCAACTCCAGGGACAATATTTGCTCCTTTCAGAAATACTCAGACGATGAGCAGGACTGAAGATAAACATCTACTGGGTTCCTGCATCATCAGTCAAAGTCTAATGTGGATGTCTTGTCAGGATAAATCGTGAAGCACTGAAATGTAAACCTGCAAAGCGTAACTGGTGCGACTGGAGCAGCATTTTGGTATAGCAAAGCCCAAGTTAAACCCACAGATCTGCAGGAACAGCAATTTCTGGACCATCAGGTGGGCGATGTCAGTTCTCCACATGTGGTAACTCCAGATTGACACAGGGGAATGGCACAACCCACCTGTGCATCTCAAACTGCAGGGCCACGAGGACTTACCTGTTGTTATTCTTCAGCTTGATGTGGTCGCTGGTCTCCAGGATCTGCCCGTTCCTCAGCCAAGTGATCTGTGGGGGGGGTTCCCCTTGGGCAATGCACGTGAAGATGGCAGTGGTCCCCACGGGCCTGGAAATGGACTGGGGATGCTGCACAAACTCTGCAGGAGCTGCAAGGAGGAAGGAGAAGGATGAGAAAAGTCATGATGACCCCACCTTATACTTGGTATAAAGAGAAACCTTGTTGCTTGGGTTTCAATCAGCCTTGTCTGCTGGGGAACATGAGATACCACAGGATGTGAGGAGTTGGAAGGGACCTGGAAAGCTCCCCCAGTGCAACCCCTGCCACAGCAGGATCACCAGAGCAGTCACACAGGAACACGGCCAGGGCTTTGGGTGTCTCCACACAAGGAGACTCCACAACCTCTCTGGGCAGCCTGGGCCATGCTCCAGAACCCTCACACTCACAAACTTTGGCCTCAGCTTCAGCTTGAACCTCTGTGCTCCAGCTTGGGACCATTGCCCCTTGTCCTGGCATTGGACATCCCAGAGCAGAGCCTGGCTCCTTCCTCCTGACACTGCCCTTTCCAAATGGATCCCCAGGAATGAGGGCACCCCTCAGTCTCCTCTGCTCCAAGCTCAAGAGCCCCAGCTCCCTCAGCCGCTCCTCAGCAGGAGATGCTCCACTCCCTCCAGCATCTTTGTGGCCCTGCTGGGCTCTTTCAAGCAGTTCCCTGTCCTTCTTGACCTGAGGGCCCAGAATTGGACACAAGATTGCAGATGTGGTGTGAGCAGGGAAGAGCAGAGCCATCACCCTGGCTGAAACGAGCCCTCTGCTATGGAGGCTTCCAAATACCAGCAAATATTGAGAGTATGAAGAGCAGTGAGGAAGGAAAGCAGCAACTACGTGTGGCAATTACAGCGTTTGTGGTTGGGAAATTCTGTTGCATTGCCAATGGCAGAGCTAGAGCAACAACTCACGGCTTCACCCAAAGGACACATACAGCGTTAGCAAACTGCTTGAGAATGGAAAGAAATGCATGGACGGGTTGTTCCTTCCCCAGTAAATACCAGCTTTGCTGCAGAATCCTCTGGCAACAACAGACTGAGGAGCCCTTTCTACCCCAAATCTGCAGCCTGGGACCTTTGGGGTCCCTTCAAAGCCTGGCAGAAGACTCCACCCTGCCTGTAACAGCCGCTCACCTCGTAACCAAACGTTTTTACCTTTAACACCACCACTTTTAAATGCAAAAGTGACTTCTCCCCTCCTAGCAGCTCAAAATAGATTTAAAATCATTTATCAGAATAAACCAGCGGATAGGCCAACAGAAAGCAGGGCCTGAAAGACGCTGCCGAGTGGGTGAGCTTATTCAAGCAGTTACGCTCCAAAGGACGCAGTGATAAATCTACTCCACGCTGCCGCTGAAACCGAAAATCAGGTGGAACCGGCAGCAGCCGCAATGAAGACAAACGGACGCGAGGCACGGGCCCGTAATGAATTTACCGACCGGCGCCATGTAACGGATGGCTGGCGTTAAATTTTCCCGACAAAAGCAAGGTGATCCGGGGAGACACGGCCAGGGCCACTCGCAAGCGTGGGGCTGGTGGGCTCTGTCACCAGCGGAGATGCAGGGATGGGAGAAGGGAGCAAATTGGTTCAGTAAAAAACACTGAGAGGTGGCCAGGCTGCAGGCAGGAGCAGCAATTCAGGAGCAGAGCCTTACGGTTCATGGCCTAAAAATCCCCCTCGGGCTTTGCTGCTGCAGCATGGGGTGATGAAGCTCTTCCCCAGCTGGGGAAAAGCATCGCTGCTGCTGCAACGAGGCCAAACCACAGCAAAAGGTGCTTGTAATAAGAGTAAAATCACGCACGTTGTAAGTCCTGCAAGCAGAAAGATGCAGAAATTCATTGAGGAGAGTCTCAAAGGAGACCCCCTCTTTCATTTTTTAATAATCAAAGGGAAGCAGAGCATGGCAGGGCTGACTTGTTAGTAGCAAGGGGTGTCCATCAGCAGGGTTTATTGCCAGGCCACTCCTGCCGGTGCTCGGGTCTCCTAATGAACCTGGTCTCAGCGACCCAAAGGATCCGCATTTCCAGAACCTCCTGGTAAACTTCCCCACGTGCCAATCGATCCCTTTTATTTCCCTCCTACTTTTTCCCCCCTTCTAGACTTCTACATTAAAATAAACCTCAGGATGGGTTCAATGAAAGCTTGGATAAACAGGTGGGAAAAAACCCCTCATCCCTGCAGTGAATGGTCCCTTTGTGGTGTACATTAGCGCCTTGGTTTTTCAAGACCTCCAAAATCCTCCTCGATCCATGCCGGAGCAATTATTTCGCAAGCGGCTCCGCACCTCCCTGTGCTCTCACTGGGGCTCACGAGCTGCACCCGCAGCACTCGCAGGTGCAACCCCACGGTGCCAAGGAAGGGCACAGCCACCTCCCAGCCTCATTAAAGACCCCAACGCTTGGCTCTTTGCCTCCACTCCCCTCCCGCTCTGCCGCCGTTTGTTCCCGCAGAAATAAAGTTTAAATATGGAAAGGAGCATCCGGCAAAACCCTCCTGGAGTCGCCGCCTCTCCTTATCCTCCCTTATTAGCCCGTGTCGAGAGGCAGTAATTGGAGCGGCGTCGCGCGTGGCTCGGGGGGGTGGCCGCTGGCTGGGCGCCAGTGATGCTATTCAGGACCTCGGGTCCCTCCAATGTCCCCTCCTCTTCACTAAACACAACCAGATCCAACCCTCAGAGCCCTGGTTAACTTGCTAAACCCTCCAGAGAGCAGGCAGAGCTGTCCCTGCTTGGTGGCATCCCTCGCTGCAAGGCAGACATCTCTCGCTGTGAGCTGGAGCAGCGAAAGGGCCCAGGCTGCAGCAGAAACCCATGGGGTTCAAAGGCTTCTTGTCCCCTTTACCAGCATCTGACACCGCCAGAGAAAGGACACAGTCCTGGTGCCACCAGGGTCTTAACACAGGGCCAGATGTTGCCGCAAAGCGATGGCCCTGTGCTACCCAATGCACCCGACATGATGTTCACACCAGTGTCCTGAGGTGCTGCCGGTGCGTGATCTGGGGGCACGTGGACAGAAGAACATCTGCTCTCCTCTCCTTGGGTCTTCTCCCTGCCCTTTCCAATGATTTCATCAGGAAACGAGGGTTCCCTGGCTCTGGGTGAGCTGGAAAGAAGCAGAAGCCAAGCTCTGCCTTCAGCCAAGCCCTCCGCTCCATCGTCATTCATAATTAATGGAGCATCTCGTCAGGGCTCATCTTGCCCTGCACGGAGGCACAGTGGCCTGAACGCCTCTCTCTTTTCCACCCTACCTGCCAAAAGGCCATCCCAGACAGTGAGAGGATGCGTCTGTCAGCCCTCCTTGAAGATCTTAATGAAGATCTTAATGAAGATCACTGTTAAGAGCAGAGGATTCAAGCCTGGCAAGGAGGAGTGGGCAAGTGGCTTGTGAAGTCTGAAGAAACCAGAGTGCTGATTATTCAGGACTTAATGGGAGGGAGGGGATCATGCAGTTTTAATGAATATTTAAAGGCATGACATTGGTATCAAAAAGCAGTGACGCTTAATACCATGCCCAGAATCGCTAACAAAGTGCTTCAACAGCTGTAACTGTGCTCAACAAACTGTGAGAGCATGAAGACGCACTGTAACAGTGGGCTGCAACGGGACACCCGATGGGCTCCATCTCCTTGGGTACATCTCATCTCAGCCATCAGTGTGGACCCCAAGATAACAGGGAGTTTTGCTTATAGCTGCATCCCACAGCTCACCAAAAAAGGGGTCTCCTAAGGATCGGGGAGCACTGACAGGACACACCCTTGGCCCTTGCACCTCAGGATGAAGCCGTCATTAATTCCCAAGTAGCCAGGGTGAAGGAGGGATGATGGGTTGTGGAGAAGGAAGAATAACATAGAAACAATAAAACCTCATAAATTAGGTTGCTGGAACTGACAATAAGGGTCTAAGGGAGAAGACAGGTCAATGGGGAAGCCAGTCAAGCACAGCTTCAGATGACAGCAGATTTAAGACAAAGAGCTGCTGCCCACTTGGCTTCACTCTGTTGAGCACAGAGGAGGCCCCGATGCTCACATAAGTAACTTAACAGTTAAGCTGCAGAGCTGGTGGGATTGCCAGGCCCAGAGATGGAGCCTGTGACCGCATCCCCTGGGAACAGGCAGAGCCCACTCAAGGAGGCCATCGTGGAGGCTGTCCATCAGCATCATTCACTTGCAGCATCAACTTAGGGCTGAACTTGAGGATGAACCAAGCAGCACAGAGCCCAGCCTAAAACACAGCAACCAGAACGGGTCTGCTGCCGAATTCAGCCCTGCAGCCAAGGCTCCCGATGCCAAAAAACGATGGAAGGAGCCTCAGGAAGCGCAGCGGTGGCCGGATCCGCTGGACCAAGGAGCGCTGGCCGGTTCTGCGGGCGGAAAGCGAGGCGAACAAGGCAGTCATTGTCAGCAGAGCCTTCAGAAACGTGTCCTTAAGATGGGCACTCATAAATGAGATGGGAATCTCATTTTTCTGCATAGCTTTCAGGAGGAAATGAAGCGTGGCATGGAGAACACTGGTGACCATCTGGCCATTCACAGCCCATCAGTTTGTTATGACACCAAACACATAATAAAGCACAAAAGATTGCGCAGGAGGTAGAGAGAAAGCGCTTTGATATATATTTTTTTCCCCTTTTCCTCACCACCGAAGCCTGCTCTTCCCTCACACCACACACACACAACGCCCTCCGCTTCAGCCCGCGATGCTTTCGGCCCTTCCACAACTCCCCCCCTGGGAGATTTCCATTGGCGGCCCCGGCACAAAGCAATATTCAAATGGCTGTGCCGGGATCTGAAGGGGAAAAAATGGAAACTTTCTTGTGTGAGAACCTCACAAAAGAGATCAAAGCGGCTCTAAATGGCCAGGGGAGGGCAGGGAGGGAGGGAGGGAGGGAGCGGGGGATCGACGCCTTCTCCTCTGAAGGGAGGAAGAATTCCCATGAAGATAATACGAGGGCGTTAAGATGATCTAAAGGAGCCAAAGGACAGAGCAAGGGCAGAGCCAGGGACACCTCTGTGATGGGGATGAGGACCAACGCTGGCAGCAGGAGGGAGGACGTGGTCTCGGTCCCAGCTTCCCGCTAACTTACGACAGGAAGCATCGCCCCTTTCTCCCCTGGTTTCCCACCTATAAAACTCTGCCTCCTTCAAAAGACGCGCGGGGGCAAGTTAATTTGTGCCTGCAGGCACTTCAAGGGCCCCTGCATAAAGGCGGGCAGTACCTGGCCTGGCGTGCTTTGAGGACGCTGTATTGTCCCAGCCCAGCGCTAACTTCCTCTCCAACCAGGCTTTTGATAGCCCCGCTCTTTGTTTTTCTTCTCTTTACGGATGTAATTTGCATCGCTGACATCTTGACAAAGATAAAACCCGGCAGCCTCCCATGTCAGTCATTATCGCTGTTTTCTTCCCAGCCAAACCTGAACAGCCATCATTTGTACCTCTCAGCTGGAAAACCCGAGCTAAATGAGATGCAGAGGAAGGGCAAAGCTGCTTCCAGCAGGAGGGTGAGCAAACCTGGGATGAGCCCAGCTGCCTGGCCAGGGTTTGCTTCCCTGGGGAATGACAGCCCTCCCAAAAAACCAGTGTTTTATGGATGGGGTTGGGGTCCCAGACACTGCAGCTTGTGTCTGCGGGATGCACTGGCCACGCTTCTCCTGGGCTCTGCTAATGCCCAACGCAGGAGCATCCCCCTTCCACAGCTCCAATTACCCTGTGATGACCATTCTGGGGAATAAATTCTTGGTTCCCTGGGTGAAAATCCACAGGATTTCTAGTCCAGATGAACTGAGCAGCTGGTCAGGAGCTGATGTTCAAACCTCCAAAGAGACTGAAAATAGCCAATCTGCAATGAGAAATTGTTCTACGTTTCCCCCCTCTCATCTAACTGCCAACAGGAGCAGTCAATGATACTCAGTAACTGTATTTTTACCACTTCAGAGATTTTCCAAGTAATTTCTTTCGGCTCTGCCTGCCTCGTGTGTGGGTTCAGAAGACCTCTGCTACACACACCACGTGCAGGGCTGTCCTGCAGCAGCTCTAAAGGGTTTGTACCAGTACAGTGAGGTTATTCTTAAGAAAGAAACAGCGAGTTTTCACCTCCTCTCATGTCTGATCAGCACCTGGGATGTGGGAGCCATGAGCAGCCTTGGATAAGCACCCAGAAAAGCATTGCTTTTCCCAAGGCAAAGGGAAATGTCAGCACCCAGGATCGCAGCAGTGACATCCAGGACCTGTCAGGTGAGCATCAGGGCTGGAGCAGGGCGCTCTCCCCATCACCAGTGTGAAAGGTTCAATTAGCTCGCTCCGGCAGGAGGTGTGTAATTTTAGATTCAGGATATCATCAGTCAATAGTTAATGAGCGAACTGATGAGAGCGCGAGATGCTTTAAGTGGACGAGCTTGAAGAGGAGGTGAGTGCCTGTAATCAGGGGCGGATTACTGCCATTCAGAGCACGCTGCCAGCTGGGTTTGCCTTCAGAAATACTTGCCTGGCTCCCCTCACCATGGAGACTGGTCACAGGCAGTGTGTGGCAGGGACTGGTCTGGTTTCTTGAGCGTCAATCTCTGCTCTGGGCTGAATCACCCTTCAGGAGTGGCATTTTGGGACAGCTGCTGCGGGGATGGGGAGCAACCTGCATCTCATGGGCACTTCCCCCAAAGGCTGCTTTACTCATGGCATGGTGAGGGGCTCAGATACAGCGTTAACTGCTACGTAAAACAGTCTCACTGACTTTTTGGAAATGGTTTTAGACTTACTGGTGCCATTTCACTCACAGAACAATACTCAGTGATACCTATTCCTGGCTATCACTGCGGGAGCCAGATTTATAATGTAGAGAGGTCCAATATGAGAGTAGCACCCATAATCTCATATCACTAAGGACTATGCAGCAGTAAGAAATTAATTTGGCTGATTAATTCAGCAATATAACAACTAACAACCGTTGTCTGGCAAGTCAAATAAATGCCTGTGAGGGGTGGGAAACCATTACAACCCACGCAGCTGAGGCCTCAGCTGAATGATACCTGGCTGCTGCTCATCTGTGTGGGACACAGAGACATCCACCCAACTGGAAAACCATGTGTAGAAAAGAAGTCCTCTGATACCATCAGAAAAGCAAAGTCAGCATCTGTCCAACCCAACCCATCGCAGAGCCCATGCAGAGGGCATTGCTGCTCCCCAAGCCCCAGCTCTGCTCACCTTGCACCACCAGCCTGCCCTGCGCCGTCCTGCGCACCCGCGTGCCGGGTTTGTTCGCGGCGCACACGTAGATGCCGGAATGCTGCACGGTGAGGTCCGAGATCATGAGATTTCCTGTCCCCAGCACCTGGATGCCCTCCACGCCAATGGGGCGGCCGTCTGAAAGAAGGGGAAAAGAACAAGAGTCACACGCTGGACTTTTGTGTGAAGTTCTCCAGGGCACAGCCCTCGGTGAAGTCCAATTAATGTACTTATGGAGTGGTGCCACGCTCTGTTACTGGGATTTGCCAAGCAAAGCCAGTGGGTTTTAGCTGATGCTCTTAGCAGAACCACCTTCTGGAGAAAACCAGGATCCTCCATCACATGTATGCCCAAAACCATACATAGTGCTGCTTGGAAAACCAAGGTACCATCACAGGGAAATCTGAAAGCTTTCAGCCACGTGTGTTCAGATTAAGATGAAGCACACAGAACATTTTTCAATATCATTATTAAACTACATTAAATCATATCCACTTCTGCGAGCCATTGCCTGGGTTCTTACATTAGACAGACCAAGCATCCAACCATCTCAACAGAGATGCTCCCAGCAGAGATGCTCTGGGAAGGAGAAGAGCAGTCAAGACCAGTACTGCCCTTATGCACGCTCCCAGGCACCACCAACTGACGACTTGAGGACATCCTGAGCTAACCCTTGATGGATTTTTGTAGCCTCCAATCCCAAGTGCTGGGCCTGAGGCAGGCTGCAATAGCCCTGTATCAGGGAATTTCTCTTTTTTCCAACAAATCTTGTTTTCACTGGAAAATTCCCAGGCAGCCCTAATTACAATGTGTTTCAGTAGCATCAGGCTATTGCTATTTATTGTTTCATTGGTTTGTGTTTTAAGACACTGCCTGACAAAGGCAGCTCTAAATCAGTCCTAGCACACATCAGGGTGTCCGAGAACAGGAGAAGGTAAAGGGATCACACTTCCATCAGATGGGAAATGGGAATCCAGGTCCTCTCTCAAAAGAGTTTAAAGAACAGACAGAAAAGTTCTCTTGCAATTGTGTGTTTTAATATAATATGATGCTTTGCATGATAAAGAATATTATGAGAATTTGGGCCATTCATAACCAACCTGTGCTGGAACAGACTGGGAAAACATGAAGGCAAAGCAGCACTTGGGGAGAGGTACAAATCAACCATCAACCCAAAAATGCAACTTTGCAACCTGGAAGTGCTTGGACCCCGATGAAAAGGCACGCGATGGGTCCCATCTCAGATTAACGGCAGCATCCTGCTAGGAAACACCAGCAAAACATGGTGCTGCAAAGCACTTCACAACCATATCTCCTGCCACGTTCTTTATAGACTGCTTTTCAGGAAATTTTTAAACTTAGAGGTTTCCTTGCTTCATTAGGCAGGCAATGCCAGACCCCTTTGTTATTTGCGTTGCAAAGAAAAATGCTCAGGTCTTTCGGAGAGAGCAGAACAATGTCATTAAATGATTAAATGATCACATAGCTGGCCAAGCCATCGCAGCAGTAAATGGCTCAGTCATAAAAAGGACGGTAAAACATGACCTGTCCCACATTTAATGAGCAATAAGAAGGAACCATTCCTTTCAAACGTCATTTGAACTGAGGTGTAAAGAGGTCTGAAATAAATTCAAATTGAACTTTTAAATGAGACCTTTTGGAAGTCCGTATTTACAACAGGCGTAAAATCAAATCTCTCTCTCGAGGGAGGGACGGGACCGGTGAAAAATGCAAAGTGGCCATACCTGGATGCTTCAACACATCATTGCCTTCAGAAATACCACAGAAATGTGACTTGAATGTCAGTAGTTTTACTGTATTATTTATAACGTGCTACATAATTTAAGCATGGAAAGACCCAGCCTGCAGCAGGTACTCCACACAGTCCAAATATCAGCATCGATACGTCCCCAGTTGCCTCTCTAGCTCCAGCTATTAATTAGAGGTGTGGAGGTCTGAAAACATCTCCTGTCAACCAAGCATCCTTCATTTCCCTGAAGAACACAGCTCTTCAAGCTCCAAAACCTCAGGGGATCTGCAGAGATCACTGAGTCAGATCATCCCATGTGCCTCTTGCTCAATTCCTTCTCTCCAAAAAACCACTGAAAAGACACTCTAGATACTTCTAGAGAAATATCTCCACTTTTTCCTTCTCCATCCCCTTTACTCTGCTGTGCCTCACTCAACTTAAGCCATCCTGTGATGGGTTAGAAGCTCCTCAGTTAATATCCAACTTAGTAACACTGAAAACACACATAAATAACAGAGAGTGTTTACACAAGAAATCCCTTGCACCCAGAAAGCTCAGCACCTTGCAGAAGTGAGACTGATATCTCCCACCTGCTTTGGAAAGGTTGCTGTCTATTTTAACCCTCTTTCACTTGCACAGAGACACAAAGAGTGGCTTGGATCAAGGGAAAGTCTTCCTTCCTGGTTGCCATCATCAAGTCACATCTCCACGGAGGAGATGCAAAGACTGCCACAGCTAACACCGCTGCTCAGTTCCCAAAGTTCTCATTTAACACGACCTTCTACTTCTTCTTATGAAGCCAGAAGTGGAAAATCTGAGGGCTGAAAACAAGCCGGTCTGGGTGAAAATGTCTGACAGATCCTGTCTGTCAATCCCTGGTTGATGAGGGCTGAAGGACGAGGTCCAGCTGGCTGTGCGGAGCAGCCAGGAGATGCTCCCAAAAAATGCCCTGACTGTGGACCAGTAGAGACTTCCAGGTCCCCCATTTCATCCCCATCATGGATGAAAGATGCCTGTGCTTTGGGAGCCACATTATTTACTTCTCCAAGGTGTACGCGATGCTTTCTGGGGTCCATTCTCCGCCTGCTACCCCAGTGATTGGCACACCGGCACCAATTACGGAGCCCCGCTAAAACGTGCCAGGCGAGATGAATATGCAACAACACGAACGCCTTTCTTTTATAAGTAGCAAGTAGAAAGAAAGTAACAACTTTCTAATGTTGATCATTTAGGTCTTTTGTGAATTCTTTGTATTGTGCCATAGTAGCCTTCCACTTTGTAGACGCATGGGTCTCCTGCTCCGGCGGACACCGGGCACCGTGGATTAGCATATTTAGAGTACATTGCAACAGTTGACTATTCAGTATGTGAAGTGGTGAAATTTACTCTATTATTTCTAAACACTTACAGGAACGGTGCTCCTGTCAACCAGTCAGCCATCTATTGCAAGCTTCTGTGTCCAATAAGTTACCAATTAATTGGCTCCTACAATTGTTGTATAGTTTACTTCTTGAATGGCTCCCTCTTTAGTAATTTCCTTCCCATTGTGCGACCCTTTCTGACAACTTCTGTATAACGCTATCAGATAATCACTGTCTTTTCTTTCTCGCCTCACTTTTCTCTATCTCTCTAAATAGTTTATTATTCTGCCTTGGTACCTTTTATGGAGGCCAGCTCAGTGGCCTGTCAGTTAAAGGGTAAGGATACATTAAAATTGTCATTCATTCAAAAGGCTTTGCAGTAAGTGCCCAGGATATTCATTTGTGCGTGCATACAGGTCCAAGCCTGAAGTGCGGAGCTCTGAAAGGAAAAGCCCTATCTTCCCCGAACAAACCCTTAATGATTTTACGTTTCTCTCAGAGCCCGCTCTCTAATGAATGTTGACATTTCATGCACGGCGAGACGCAGGAATTCTGTTTGTGGTCAGGGGCTACAACATATTCCCAAGGAAATTAAATTCAAAATTGATTGCGCGACACTCAAAAACCGGCCCAGAATTTGAACGATTTCCTTCAAGCAAAATATAGCTGCTTAAAACCTGGCTGGTTTTAAGCAAAGCCAAAGCAAAACGTGCAAACGCACGCCCTGTGCACAGCCCTGGCACAGCGGCATCACCACGACCCTTCCTCATTTCAACCAAGCAAGAAAGATGCTCATGTATAATCGACTTTTTTGTTGTTTAAATTAAGCCAGGCCTATTGCTAAATCAGCTGCATCTCTCTAAGGCTTTGTGGCCATGGATTTTTTTTTTATTTCTGGATGAAAAGGGTTTTTTTTTCCCCCAAGTTGAGTAAGTTACCTCTAAGGCTTTGTGGCCATGGATTTTTTTTTATTTCTGGATGAAAAGGGGTTTTTTTTCCCCCAAGTTGAGTAAGTTATTTAAGCTGAACCAGCTCTGTAGGAGGAACCTCTGGAAGAAGACCCTCATGTGGGAGGAAACCACATCTACAATACTAAACCAGATCTTGTGATGCTTTGGCCAGGAAACATTCCTGATGAAGAGGAGGGAAAATAATGGGATCTCTTTCTTTTCCCTAATTCTGCTGTAAAGCAGTGTGGAGAGGGTTTTTATTTTTGGTGGGAGGCAAAGCTGAGCTCAGACCATCCAGCCAAACATCCCACAAAACTGTTACATCTTCATTACTGCACTGCTCTGTAGAGACAAGTGTTTTGAAGAAGGTAATAAGCACTTATAATTAAGGCAATTATAAAGTAGTTTATTATAGCTGAGCACCAACATAGAGCCGCGTTGTGTCCAAGAGAACCAAAACAGCGATACAGCCTATCTGGGGAATGGTTAAAACAGCATCAACCTGATGGATATGGCTCTGGAGGGAAAAAAAAGCCCAGATAATGGCAGACACAAGCTGGTTTTACAAGAAACCAGAGGATTCAAGCAGGAGGGCAAACACGGAGAAAATGGAAAAAATATCAGGGTGCCCAGCAGCAAGCATTTGGTTTTTCAGAGCTTCAGACACGCTACTTTAACCACTCTCTTCCCCTCAAATTTGTTTAAAGCTCCCTGAACAGGCAGCAAGTTTCTTTCAAGCGTGTTTTCCGTGAAAGATGTGTTTGTGTCTGATTTGGCTTCTCTGGGCCAACAGTGGTGATGTTTCTGATGCAGCTGCAGAAGACGCTGTCACTGGAGAAAAGATAAAATTATCACCTTTCAGGAAACGTCTCCAGGTTTAACCAACCCACTTCTCCAACAGGGAGAAACAGGATCTTGGCAGAGAGAAAAATACGAAGAGTAGACATGAGGATAAAAAGCATTGCAAGCCTACAATTAACTGCTGTGGGAAGAGAAAGGGTGAATCCCTTGTTGCATAAAATAAGTCAGAGGCACCTACCTATTTCCCATGCAATGGCAATGGAGAGGAGGAGGAAATCGTGGGCATCCCCAGGGCTTACCTAGGCGGCTCCAGGAGACGATGGGCCGGGGGTTGCCGGTCGCGATGCACTCCAGCACCGCGGTCTGGTGCACGGTCAGGGTCAGGTTCTCCGGGCCGACCAGAATCGTGGGGTCCTTGTACACGGTGGAGTGGGAGCCTGGAAGGACAGCATTGATGTTAAAAGGCATCCAAATCCCTTTTGTTTAATGGGAACACCGAGGGCTTCGTGCATCCTCCAAGGACAAATGATGCGGCTGGTGTAACCCTCAATAAATTTGAGATGTGTGTGAAACAAGAGCAGCACAAGGTTGGTATGACAGTCACATCATCCGAATGTGATTTAAATGGGCACTGATATTCTTGGGGACAGCCCTGCAGCCCACGGACCCAGCCACAAGCAGCTCTGTTCACACCCAGACATAGGCAGCACAAAGCAGGAACCGCACCATGAATTGCAGATGTGCAGGAAAAAACATGGCATATAGGGAGCACACAAGCTGCAGGACAGCTCATGCAGGCAGCAATGCAAATAAACCTTTTATCGATCAGCATCTCCAGCCATAAATTAATCCACACGGTCCACAATGCCTAAAACTGCCTCTCTGCGAGCATCCTCTCTTGCTGCTGGTGCCATCTGCTCCAAAAGCCCTGTCCTGGGACACAGAGAATGATGGAGGTGCCCGTCCCTGACTCCTGCTGAGCATCTTCTTGAGAGGAAACCCAAGGAAACTCCTCTGATGGCCACAGCCCATGGGGTGGCCATTGCCCTGTCTTTTACAGCACCCCCGTCCCAGCCCACTCTGGTGTAGAGAGAGGACACATCCCATTGAGATGACCGGGATACGATCACTGCTCACGAGGCGATCACTAATAATTTATTTGCACTACAGTAAGCACCAAGTGGCAGCAACCAAGACCAAAACTCAACGTACAAGATGATGAACAGACCCATAATAAAATAAAGCCCTGGCACAAGGGAATCTGGAAACCAGAGAGGCACAGGGCAAGCAAAGGGAGACCATGGAACATAAACACCATTCTGTATCAGGTATACCACATCTTCTGAGTCCCCCAAAAGTGCCTTATCCCTGGGCAAAAGCTCCCACCAGCCTTCATTCGTGGGAGCAGGAGAGGAGGAAGAGAAGGAGATATTCTCCATCAGCAAACAGGAACACTGACAATCTCTGCATCAGTCTTCTCCCCATTTCCAACCAGAGCTGGGTTATGCTCCGGGAACGCTGGGGTCAAGCGGTGTTGAAGGAATTTCAACAATCTGACAGCTGCTGCTGGCAAAAATGCTCTGTACACCTGGGGAGAGAAAGATTTGGGCTGGCCGCCTGCCCCCGAGCAGGAGAGGGGCACTGGGAGGGCTGGGAGCTGCAGGGACCATCCCACGTCGACTCCTGGACATGGACTTTCCCATATCCAAAAAGCTCGTTAAAGAGAAGCGATCCACTAAAATCTATAGGGTTTTTTTCCAAGAATAAAATGTCTTTACTTTCTATGGTCTTTAGCGTTGCCCTTTGAAAGCAGCTCAGGGGCTGGAGGCAGGGTTTTAGCAGGGGGATTGCGCCGTGGTCCAAGGGCACGCACGGATCAGAGCGGCTCCTTCCTTAATCGTCCCTACAGGGGCTAAACGGGGGGCGGCAAAACCCCTCGGAGGTTGTGTCTAAATGGGCAAAATCCAAGAAAAATCACCGTGTCAGTGTGACTTAAGAGCTGGCTTTCTCACTAAACGCATTTCACTGCAAGCCATAAAATGCAGATTTTTTGATGAGAACCAGAATGCACAATAAATTCATATGACCGGCTGGTTAACCCCAAGAGATCTGAAAAACAATACCTTCCCCCTCAGTACCTCCGAGTGCCTTTAAAACCCGTGTAGATTTATTGTTCTAAATCACAATGCTAAATGTTCACGCTTAGAATAATACGATATTATCAGCGTATTACGGAGCGATTTCAGTATTTCAAAACAGAGAGAAATGAAATGAATTGCCCAAGGTCACCCTAGAAAACAGGAGCTGAACCCAAAGCAGAATTTATAAAACACTCTATTTTGGCAATAAAAATTTTTAAAAATCACACATTTTGATTTATATTGCGAGTCCTAAATACGCATTCAGGTTTTTGGGTGTGTGCTCAGCTCCCTGAGTTTGCTCAAACCCTGCTCACCTTCTCCTGCAAAGGCCACGTAATGGTTCCTTATGGCTTTTCTGCCTCCTCCATGCCGAGCCCATCGCCCACGGCAGCACCAAAAGGGATGGTGACCCAGCAGGGACACGGTGCCACCACCATGCAAAGGGGTTGACCATGCTCAACCATCGTGGAGGAGGTTTCCCTCTCCAACCAGAAAAGCTCTTGGATGCAGGATGAGGAAGGACAGAGTGACAAAAGGAGGGACTCGAGTGCTGGAGCACAACGGGGTTCAGAGCAACGTGGGGGGGATTTGTTTTGGAAGGGGAGAAAGGCTCTAATGATGCATGTGGTCCCCAGGGGCTCTGCCAGCAGCCATGGCAGTGGGGATGGGAAGGTCCTCAGCATCACCAGGAGTGACAGGCACTCTGGCAGGGACGGGAGCATCACCAGCACGGGCTGTTAGATCTTGATCAAAAGGACAGCAGCGGAGGGAGCCGCAGCGCGCGCTGAGAAGGTGTCAGCGCGGAGAGGCAGGCGGCCCCGCGGGAGCATCTCCGCTAAGCAGGCACTTGAAAATAATCAATCAGTAGGGCTGGAAGACATATCCGTGTCACTCGCTGCTGGGAAGAGGAAGGGAAGGGCTGCGAGGAGGCTCCTTCATCCCTGCAGGCAGCCACCCTCCTCCTCCTCCTCCTTTTCCTCCTCCTCTCCATCCGGGCTGTGCCAGCAGCTCCCAGAGCCCATCTCCATCCTCTCCCTCCTCAGCCAGGGCTTGGTTTGGGAACAGTGCTGTCCTGGTCTAACAGATATTTGTGTGCTCTTAGCAAAGCCCACAGAGCAAAAAGCTTTTTCACTGAGGTTTCAAGGGTTTTCCACGGGCTGAGAGCATGCAAATGTCCCATTACAGCAGCTCTGTCGTCACACAGTCACCGAAGCATGGTCCAAGCCCTTCACCAAGCACTTATACACAGTGCTTGTATTCATCACTCGCCTGCTTTAAGGCAGAGAAAAACCACAAATGTTTCACAGGCAGGAAACCTGGAAAATATCCATCTGAAATGAGGGATGGTCAGATGAGAACAACTAGCACTTTCTGCCCTCAGAGAAATAATAACTCAGGCCGGCAAACTGACACAAAGGTCTTCACCACGTTGGTAATTTACTGCTCTCTTTTCCCTCCACGTGGCTACTGTTCATATAGATCAAGAAAACAGATACGTAACGGGCATCAAAAGCTTCCAGGCCTTTCAGAACCAGTTAACCTGCTTCTTTTCCCATCAGAGCTGATACACATGGCATCACTCAGTCCACAGCTTCACCCTATTTCACACACGCTGCTGTTTTACAGTCAGCAAAGGCTCTGCTGACACTTGGTGCAGGCGTTCAGTCTCCTGCTCCTGCACCAGGCCAGGCGGCTGTTTTGGAGGGTGAAGGTTGGTTGGGATATACCAGCATATGATGGAGAACCTCCAGCCCCGGGTACCAGCAATACAGGGGGACCACAGTGGGTACCCAGCATCTCAGGGGGGTTCTGACCTGCACAGGGCCCTGTGTCTCCGAGGGCACCCTTTGCCAGCAGGACACGGCCACAACTTGTAGGTGACTTCTTCTGTGGTGCTTTGATCCTTTCTGAAACTAACTCTGAAGCCCCAGAGAAGCAAGTGGTCATGTTTTAATACAAGGAGGTTGAGCATTTCAAAGGCATCTCCAAGAAGAGGGCACAAGGGTGTTGGTTCACTCCTGGCTGCTTGATGGGGCTGGGTGGGATGATTTGACTTAACCCTTCCCACTTCCTTCATAGCAGGAGCAGCTACTGACACATCAAGAGAAACTGCTGAAGCTAAAAGTGTTTAAAATAAAAATAAAGAAAGCCTAACCAGAAGGTAACAACCTAACACCAAGTTTAGAAACTGGCTGATGAGTTATTGCCTGATGGGACTCCAAGAGATCAGCTTGGGTCCCACACAGACAGACAACAGAGGGTGGGGAACGGGCAGGTCAGCGGAGGGCAGCACAGCCATGGAGATGTGGGAGCAGCGTATTCGCACCCTAATCCTTCCTTCTCTGCCCAAGGCCACCACTTCCACGTGTCATTTCGTGTGCTTTCACAAACAGGCCATGCAAAGCGCAGATGCAGGTTGCTTTGGTTTTCCTTTCATCACATCCTACCTCCGGCAGCATGAAACCAACCAGCAAGAATGTGATTTTTGGCCCTTTTTTTTGGCCGTAAGGCACCGTCATTTCTTCCGCTGGAGCTTTCAGAGGTGAAAACCTGGTTCAGACACTGACTTCAAATGCGGATGAAGAACCAAGACAAAATTCAGCTTGGGGTGCTCAGGGCTTCTCCTCCTCGTCTTCCAAGGAAAGGTTAGCCCGCTTCGGTCGCAATGCAATGCTAACAGCCTACAGAACATAATTCCTCCATTAGATAAATAATTGATCACCCTGTGTGGTGCAATTACTTTCAGAGTGGGCAGGTCTCATAAGGAAATGATGAAGCTTCCACATTTCCAAAAGAATTTATTTAATGTAAAGCTGCTGTAACTCATTTTCTCACCGTCCTTCCCTCTCCCCAGAAACTGGAGCTAATTTACAGGCAAAGAGACAGATTTATCTGCTATCACATGGACCGATCTGGCAGGAACTACCAAATACCCAGAACAAGGAAAGTGCTATGGCTGGACAGACAGATGCTTCTCAATGATGTTAGCATGAAGCTTTCTTTAAATGTCCTGGTCCAGAACAGCAGTGGGAAGAAGAAGGAGGAAAACCAGTTAGGAGAGGGTTTACTGGTACTGACCTGACACGGTGAGCCTGGCCTCCCGGCTGAACTTCACGTTGGCAATATTGGTAGCCACGCAGTGAAAAATCCCACTGTCTTCTGCCCTCAGTCCCGTAATCTGCAGGACTCCCTTGGGAAGCAGCGTGTACCTGCAGGAAGAGAAAAGCATAAATAAAACGTTGCAAAGCAGGACAGGACATGAAGAGAGGCTGCACACTCCGTTCACCCTCATAACCGCATCAATTCTTCATTTTTTTGGATATTTGAGTCTTCTTTTAAATATAACAAGCGTCAGGGGAAGCGTGTGCTCCCCACTCCCAGCTCCACGGCCAGGACTCAAACCCACATGAAACCTCAAAGACGAGAAAAGGCATGTTTAAAACAGACACTGAGTGGGCACACACAAATATCAAGAACTATTTTCCATATTTAGAACACAGGTATATTTAAATCACGCATGCATACACACATACATGTATACATACATTACAGGTTGCCTGGCAACCGTGTGTTTAAATTGGCTGGTAGTCAGTCATTACCCAGTGATGAGTTAATAATCCATTTCCGTCTGGAAGATGAAGAATATCTTTTTTTCCATATCAGCATATGGTTAAGTGCCTATAACCTGCGCCGGGTTCCTAACGCGGGGCTCGGTGTCAGCAGCAGCGTGACAGCAATCAGTTTTACACGGCCCGAAGTTGATTGTAATCTCTCTGGGACTTTAAAATGCCCATTGTTTTGGATGAATTATACCACAAGAAGCCTTCATTTTTGTTAACAACCTGCCCACAGCATTAGAAGATTCAATTCCAAAGCTATTATTCTGCCTTCAAAGCCTCCAAGTGCAAGGCTCGGCATACAAATTTATATACACTTTATAGGCAGAAACGCGCCGAGCGAGATTAATGCAGAAATCCAATTCAGTTGGAGAAGCAACCCTCATCACCCAGGCCCGTTGGTGTCAGAGATTAATCTACTGAGCTGACAATAACAACCTTCCCCAGTAACTTTACTGCTACAAAGAGCCAAATCTATTCAAAATCAGGACACTGAACACAGGGAAACTGCTCCTAGCCCATGTTCTCCAGGGCTTGGGCAAGCTCCCTGCTCTGGGGAAGAAGCTGTGGGGATGAGCACTGCTTGGGGGTCTTTGGGTTGGAGAAAAGTCTTGGCTCCTCGGTCTTGGAGCTCCTCAGTCTTGGAGCTCCTCGGCCCTGGGGCTCCTCGGCCTTTGCTCCTCAGTCCTGAGGCTCCTTGACCTTTGCTCCTCAGCCCTGGGGCTCCTCAGTCTTGGAGCTCCTTGGCCTTTGCTCCTCAGTCCTAGAGCTCCTTGGTCTTCGCTCCTCAGCCTTGGGACTCCTCAGCCCTGGGGCTCCTCAGTCTTGGAGCTCCTCAGCCCTAGGGTTCCCCGGCCTTTGCTCCTCAGCCCTGGGACTCCTCAGCCCTGGGACTCTTCAGCCTTGCAAAAAAGAAGTCCTGGTTCCACTCCAATCCCTACCACATCTCTGGTCATCTCCACACCCATGACCCTGGGCTCAAGTGGCATAATAATAATGCATGAAGGACTTCAGGGTGCTGCAACATCTCATCAGGACGCATACAAGGTGTCAGGCCCAGTTCTGCACCTCTTTCTTCTGCTGATAGCACCTCGCATCACCTGCCCTGCTCTGCCACATCCCCAAGTAACACTTGTGTGAATAAGCAGCCCTCAGAGGAGGCTGAGTTTAACAAACCAACCCTGTGCTGGGCTAAAAAAAACCTCAGATGAAAAACGCAAGGAAAACAAAACCTGACAGTTGCAGTTTTCTACGGCAGGGTTGGGCCTCTTGGGTCCTTCCACTGTAAGTTTACCGCAAAGCTGAAAAGGTCAGGCATTGTTCCAGCCCTCGTGTTTTCTCCTGCCTCCAAAGCACCCAACCCCGTTCTGCTGCAGAACTGACATTTTTAAGAATAGGGGCTTTCAGGAAAAATATTTACAGCTTCCTGGTTTCGCCGATTCCCAACGCACGGACGTCAACTCGCGATCGAGGTGTGCTGCGACTGATTGTCTCCTGCCATCGGTTGTGCGGCTCCCGAGCTGCAGCTGGGACCGCCGGGGGTTGGCGGCACCGAGCACGCGTTTCCTGCCACCTGTCCCACCGCCGCTCCGAGGATCAAACCGTGATGAGGGACATTTCCGACGCGAAGGGAGCAGCCTGTCAAACACAGGAAGCGAGGACGTGCCGCCCCAGGTCTAGGCTGGGGAAACGAGGGGCAGCTGGGTTTTATTTTAGAGAAAATTTCTCCTTCCCAATCCTCATTGCACGGGAACTGGTAGCCCAGGGCACTGCGAGATGCTCTCTGCAGAGCTTCCCTGCTGCCACATCATGAGGAGGTCCACCTGGGAAGGAAAGTCTAGCGGCCACGGTATAATTCAGCGCTTGCAAGAGTTCAGGACCCACATGGAAGACCCTAAGTCATGGATCTGGCTGGGAGAGTTGCCCAAAATGGAGCCATGGAGGGATGATGGATGCCAAAGCTACCCCGGTATCTGCTAGGATCGCTGGGTGGGCTCTTCATGCTGAAATCACAGAGTAACAGAATCACAGAATCACAGGAGTAGGAAGGGACCTCGAAAGATCATCCAGTCCAACCCCCCTGCCAGAGCAGGATCACCCAGACCAGGTCACACAGGAACGCGTCCAGGTTGGCCTTGAATGTGTCCAGAGAAGGAGACTCCACAACCTCTCTGGGCAGCCTGGGCCATGCTCTGTAACCCTCACAGTAAAAAAGTTTTCCCTCATGTTCGCATGGAACCTCCTGTGCTCCAGCTTGCACCCATTGCCCCTTGTCCTGCCATTGGACATCAGAGAGAAGAGCCTGGCTCCTTCCTCCTGACACTCGCCCTTTCCAAATTTATAAACATTAATGAGGTCACCCCTCAGCGTAAAGTAAATGTAAATGTAAATGAAATGTAAACCTGGAGCAGGGCTCATCGGGATGCAAGCCCTTGTCCCCTCCAAAATCAGCTAACGGGGTTTATCTAGGACTCTTGAGGGATACAGTATTTCTGCACAGTGTTTGGCCAGAAGGAGCGCAGACAACCCACAACATTGACTGAAAGAGCCTTCCATGGCAGAAACACTGGCCAAGACCCTCAACCCAGATCAGCTGTGTCCTAGCACAACTGTGAGACCAGTAACACGCCTGGCCACCTTTTTCCACCTGGAGAAAGCCCAGCAGCACACCGATTGGCCATGTCCTACCTTTCGTTGTCCGTGTTGACCGGCATGCGGTTCTTTTGCCAGAGGATGACCGGTTCAGGCAAGCCATGGATCTGGCACTGGAACCTGGCTACGCCACCTTCCTCCACCACTGCGTTCTGAGGGTGGATGTGGAAGTCGGACATCGCTGGAAGACACAAAGAGAGACAAAAATGTTCACATGTGAAAAGAGATCCACTGCCAAGAGCTTCACAGGACCTAGAAACACCCTGATGTCCCAAATGGGACTGCAATGCAAGCACCCCCGAGTGCAGCCTGACCCCCTGCATGGAGAAACAAGACTGGTGGCAAGTGCTATACGTCTTCCTCTGCACGCTGAACCCACTGACTCAACCAGGACAGGATATTGTTCTCCATCACCCACATGCTCCACAGCAAGGTCTACAGGGGCAGCGAGATGCTCAGACCCTGCACTGGCATTTATTGGAGGTCATTCCCAACAACTTTAGCAGGCTTTGGACCCAAGCTCACAGCAGAAAAGAGATACCCATCCTTTTTGTCACTGTCTTATCTGCTGTAAATATCCTTCTGATGTGCACAGCTTGACTTCTAAGCTCATTTTCTTTAATTACCTTGACCAAAAGAGCTCCCAGATACTCAGGTACAACTCACAGCCCTTGATTTCCACCTACTCCAGCTCACTGCACACCCTGAAGGCACGGTCACATCCCGGCGCTGTGGAGCAACAGGCTTCAGCCGACAGAAAGAGCAGCTGCCAAGAGCCCACAGCTCAGGGTTTTTGTGGTCGGGACCACCCGACAGCGAATGGCAAACCTCAGCATGCCCAGGATGAATAAAACCCAGCCTGCATCAGCACAGCCACAGCTGTAACCATCGTGCAGACCCTGGCACGCTGGTAGAGCTGCATAAATAACACAGTAATTATTACTATTAATTAATTGGAAGGTGCTGCCTGTTGACTCCGCAATAAACATATTCGAGGCTAATAAACATCCCGGTGGTTATTTAGCTCATGATTCATTTACAGCAGGAAAATCTCTCACATTATCATACAAAATAAACTCTGAGAGACCCCAGCTCTGCCACCCCAGCCCGAGCACACCCCTCGTCCCCCTTTTACGTGCGTCAAGCGTAATGAATGTACCTCTGCTAAGGAACAAGCTGCCTGTGTGTCAGGGCAGCTTAATCACTCATCTGCAAACTCCAGTTGGGCTCAAGCAGATGGGAGATGGCCATTAGCAATCATACATTAAATATGTGTTGCATTAACCCGCCCTGCTCCCCGACCACCGCTGGCTGCAGATTTGTTAAGCCGACGGAGGAATAAGCAGCAAAGCTCTGCACGGCCGCAGCGTTGGGAAGGTTTTGGGAGGGTGGGATGGGCAACCAGCCTCACATCGGGATGCAGCAATGGGAGCAAGACCAGGAGGTGGCTGTGCAATGCTCCAGACAGATGGGAACTCATCAGCACGAGGCAAAAAACCATGGAAAATAACATTTCCCTTTCCCAAGATGAAAGCTAATGCAAATATCCTCTCTGGTATGGGATGGAGCCTAATGGTAGAATGGTAATTTACCCAATTCCTACATGTTTAGCCTTGAAATGAGGCTGCTCATGGCCTAGAGCACATGTGGGAAGGAGCCCAAAGGCTGCTGGGGGGGACGGGTCTCCCCAGTTGTGCTCCCCAGGATCCCAAAGGCTGCCATTGGGAGGTTCAGGCCACGGTGAGCATCTCGCAACCAAAGCTTGCGAACTGTCACCAGGAAACGAACCCAAGAATTAACGAGAATGACACAGAGCTCATTAATAAAGGAAAAAAAAAAAGGCAAGAAACAAAGAAAAGCAGAGATTCAGATGCCTGCAGGAAAATTCCTTTCAAAGGTACAGATGCTCGGTGCGTGCAGGTTTTTTGGGTGGCTGACAGGGTTGATGAGAAGAGGGAGGTGTGAATGAGAACGACTCCAGCACAGACTTGGCTCCGCTGGCGACACAATTCATCGCCCTTCCTTTATTTCAATCATATCACCTCTTATAGGTAAAACTGCGGCAGTAACCTCTACTCTTAAAGACACTAGTATTCATATTTATCATGAATAAAACATGGCAAGTCATAAATAATTCAGTTATGAGGATGTTAAGTAAAATATTACTCTTCAATGACCCTATAATGTGGCTTTGAAGCACAGTTTTATGTTAAATGCCTAGGAAACACTGTGACCCTTGCCAAGACCAGCTGGTTTGCAGAAGCCGCATTAAAAATTCATGCGCCGAGCTACAAAACGCTATTTTTAACGCAGGTTTACGAGTTTATTTACAGTTGCAGAGACAAAAGCTGTTGCAGCATCGCCCGTAAAACAGCGGCGAAACTCAGAAGGCGAGCGATTACCTGGGATGCTGTTTCCATCCTGCAAATAAATCAGTGGGCGTAAAGGAGCGGAGAGGGATAGGAGCGCAACCGCTTTACGTGGCATCGCTCGGAGGGGCTAAATCTCTGCCGACCCACGTGAGATTTTTATCTATGTCCCAACCGAGCGTGACAAACCCATCCAGTGAAGATCTTGCTCCCATTTGTCACCCGTCTTGTGTCAGGACCCCCCGTTACCGGCCGGGCGCTATTGTTTCGGCCGTCGCGGAGCAATCGCTGCGCCCTCAGCGCGGGTGCGGGTTGGCCAGCAGCCAGGGAGCGGCTGCATCTCATTTCTATGCTAATGGCCATCATCACTTCCAGAAAAATAAATACGAGCAATCGCAACCTTCACCCGCGAGCGCCGAAGAGGGGAGGCGTCCTCTAATCCATGTGCCAACGGGGGGACCGGTGTTGTCACCTCGTCCCCATCGAACCTCCCGCTGCCATCTCCGTGCGTAGCACGGTGCCATCTACACACACCGTGAGCGCAGGGGAGTCATCGAGCCAGAAAATCAACCTCAATCATACACACACTCATCGATGCTCCAAGTCACGGTGTCTCAGAGCTTCTGCTGCCACCACACCTGGGTTTTGGCCATGGTACATGGGCGCAGAGCAGACGGGGAATGGGCCCAGCAGCCCCAAATCCTTCTCCCAAAGATGCTGGCCATCTTTATCTACAGCCACACTAACGCATGAGGCAGAGGAGTGACTCTTCATCCCTCCTTCCCCATGTTGTGCCATGGAGAACCTCAAATCTGATGAGGTCTCTGAGGAGAACCCCATATTTGGGATCTCCCACCACCTCATCCACACCAGGACGTGGTTCCCAAAGGCATTTCCTGCGGACACGGTGCAGGTGAGCAGCAGCTCTTACCCTCACCCACAGGCATTCATCCCTGAATCGAAGCGCAAACGCTCGCTCCATCCTAACAGGAAAGGCCACCGGAATAAAAATGAAAATAGGTATCGAGTGAAATTTTCTGCACTCCATGAGAAACTAAATTGAAACCATTAGCGGCCAATCCTTTTTTGCTCAGCGCAGCATTAGCGCTAAGCCGGAGATTGACCTAGATTTGATCTAGAAAAAGAAAACATTACCTTGCTATGTCAAAAGCAAATCCCAGGCCTGTTAGAATCATTAAAACGCAAACATTATCATCAACCGCAGGCACGAGGGGAGGAAGAAGACTTGAACGGTTCAGCGCCAAACCTGGTGTTAGGAGAGTATTTGGGCAGCCCAGCCAGTCCTGCAGTCACATTTTTGCTTTTAAACTATGGGAAAACAGATACCCAGGGTGGCTCTGACACGAGACGATGCTGAGCATCCTCCCCACCACTGACACCAGGCAGCAGCCCACAGGCAAGGGCATCTTCTCCACATTTTTGCCAACAATGTATGAAATTCAGGCCTCTTCCAATGGATGCACGTCTAAAATGCCTCCAAGTTAACCCAGTACAAGGATCATGAGTTTAATGGGATGTGCCTGAGCTCCCAGACGCTGCTGCCAAGGAGGGCGAGCTTCGTTAGCTCCATTACAGCTGATGGAGGTGGAGTCTCGGTGAGGGAACAACCCATGGGCAGAGCTGACCCCTTCCAAGAGTGGCTCCATCCCAGTGCTGGCAACAGCAGCTGGTTTCCATGCTGAATTTCCTACCTTACTAATGAAATTGCATTTCCCTTCGGGTCTGCAGAAGTCAGGGTCGTTTTTAAAACACAAAGACCATGATACCAATCAAACCAGACCTAAACCACTCTCCAACCAGGCTGACAGCACCAGCAGAACCAACCCTTGGTATCGGTGAGATTCATTAAGCCCCCATCCTCCTTGGCACCCCAACTCCTTCCCAAGCGCTTTCCCTGCCCCAAAGCAAGCAGAGGGGTGAGATCCTCTCCCATCTCATTCTAGTTTAGGAGATCTTCACCACTAAATTAGGAACCTGCCAGGGAATATTGCCAAGGAGGACGTCAGGTGAAGGCTTAGCAGACATAAATCTCACGTTTGCTCCCCTTCTCACTCTGGAAATGAAAGATTTCCCTGCAAGAAAGAGCCAGCACAAGAGACAGGGGACACCACAAATCCCATCCTCTCCTCTTTCTCTCGTGCTTTCAAACAGGGACGCTTTCCCAGATCTTTAAGAAAAAGACACTGCATCTTCTTCCTCTACATTATTTTTCTTTAAAAAACCCCTTAGTTTTTATAAAAATATAATAAAAAAGCCCACGTCACGACGGCCCGGTGGTTACTCCAGCTGCCAAGCAGCCCCCGCGAGCCGGCCCTGCGTGTCTAATGATGCTTTTGTGCGAGGCTGTCGCTGCGCTGCCGTGAGCCCAATTTGGAATGCAAGTTGCTTTGTGCATAGTGAAGCGTGAACAACAGCGCCGCCCATTTATCTATTTAATTCTTCAGGAGTAGCAGGAGCGGGGGCCTTCGCTCCCGTCTCAAAGGGAAGAAAAATCGCCTTTCTCTCGGCTTCGGGAAAAGGAGGGAAATATTAAAGAGCGGCCGCGCCTCTTCCCAGCACAGCGGAAAAAAAAAAATCCCCTCTGCCCCTGCCCACAAATCACAGGGGGGGGAAAATCCCAAATCTCCATTGTCCACGCTGGGCCTCAGATCTCAAAAGGCTCAAAAGGCTCAGGAGGATTTGAAGCCAGGAAAACATTTTGGAGGAACTGAGCTGGTTTCAGAGGAACCAAAACACATGGTTTGCAGAGGGAAAGATGGTCAGTTCTGCACGCTCTTTAATGGCAATATTT